ATAGGTTTACCACAGGTGAGCCATAGGTTTACCACAGGTGAGCCATAGGTTTACCACAGGTGAGCCATAGGTTTACCACATGTGAGCCTATCTTGATGTTACATGTAACCAATAATGTGAGTTTGAAAATTATTACTTATTATTCAGGTAGCACAAATTATTTACAATTATGTTGACAAGCACATAACTAATTCCTTTCAGTTTATTAGGCAAAGCAACAAGCAGACATTATGTTCAATATATTAAAGTATATGAGTTGTAGGAAGGAAGTGTTTATACTAACCAGTATGTAATTTATATGAACATATATGCGTGATTGCAGGATTGTAATGTCCATTGCATTTACTATTGGTACTAGCATGCGCAGAGTTCAGAGTTCCCTCTACAAGTGTTCAGTCTATTTTGAATGCATTGTACACACAAAGGAATTAAAGTCGTTATTGAACAATAGATACTCTATTCTCTTGGACTCAGACTACTATAGACAAACTAACAATGCCTATTGTTGTAGGTTTTAATTGGGGATTGTGCCTGTAAGATGTGTGCCTTGGCAGACATTGCTGGTAGTTTTCTGACACTCGCATTTACCTGCTTCATGTGTTTTGGTAATGTCATTCTATTGCCAAACGCACAGACGTATACTTTTTGATCTAACCGCAAATGAAATTTGTGCGTTTTGACTATTTTTAATATCTTCTACTTTCGTCTACTATATTTAAGAATATATAATGAGCAAATTTATATTATTATTTCTCATTATTACAATTTTCCCAGAAGATGTGAAAAGGTCAAATGGTGATGTTGACGTTGACATTGTTCCTTTGTGTGGATGCTTTGTAGTTTTTGTGGACAATGCGTTTAAAAACTTGATATGCTCACGCAACTAAGGGATTAAAGTCATTTAATATTCAGTAGGAAGCTGATATTTTAATGGTGCATAAATTTTAGCTATCTCTATGCTTGTTTGGTTCATGATTACAGAAACATGGAGAATAAACACAAATAACTTACATATGTTTTGTCACATTTGGGAGATTATTTATAAGGATATCACGTTATTACATTATAAATGTGTTAGTTGGGTTGTTTATTGGATTAAAAAGTTAAGCCCAAAACAAACATGGCAGGCATCTGACCAAAGGAAAAGCTACACTACTAGTCTGTCTGTAGTAGTCTGAGTCTTGGACAAGTAGCAGTTCGATTTAAATGGCTCTAATGTTTGTTATACAAAGTTTCATATTTTGTTTACAACTCATTATGAATGGTCAGTATATGAATTATCAATAACTTAAAGGGACAAAATTATTGCATCCCTAAGTGTTTAATGTGAGACTGTATACAATGTTAACACACAATTTTAGCTAATGTCTGTCTCTGATTAAAACTACTAGCTCCATTTTGTCACCTCTATGCTAATAAAAATAGCTATCATATTTCCTTCACTAAGTGTATTTCTCATATATACTATAGCATGTTTTGAATTGTAAACAAACAGTTGCATTTATTTGTGTATTCGATTATCAAAACATGACTCGTACATGTATAATAATGAGTCTGACACTCAATATTCAATAGAAACAACCATCATAGTCATAATACATAGGGTTAAATGTTTTTTATTTTTTATATTACCATGGTGTACATTCAAGTTATTGTTAGAATACCTGTACAACTCATAAGCCTGTTGTTTTTCTCAAAAATATGAATAGGGAAAGTGAATTAATTTTAATTTGGAATTATTATTTCATAATTTCCTGTAAAGCAATAATCAGGTCAAAATTAATATATTTATGCATGGAACTCTGTGATTCCAGAGAATGAAGTTTTGAGACTCAATACAAGTACATATGCTCTAATGTCAGCAACATACCATAAAAATGACATAACATTAGTAAATCAAATATTCTAAAACGATTATATATACATTTATAATGCAAGAAATCAGATATCCAGGTAACAGCAGTGAGTTGTGGGAGAATAGTTGTTGCTAAAATTTTGAATTTCCAGTTCAAACTTCTGAATGCCAAAGTCAAATTTTGTCTCCAAAATCTTCAAAAATTGGGACTACATGTAGCAACCAATACATGGATGCTGTAAAATATTTTATTTTCGCTTGGAATTAATTTTCGCTATTTTCGCTGAAGGAATGATTCAGTGAAAATAAAATCCAGCAAATATACCTTTTTTCCTATATCTTACATTCAACTCGTCACAAATCAGTGAAAATAAATTCCATACAAAAACCCAAAAAGTCTTTTCAGCAAAAATTAATTCCAGCTAAAATAAAGTATTTCACAGTATTCATTTTAATAACCCAACCAAGGCAACAAACTGCATTTTATTGGTCATTCCCAGGTACTCACATATTGCAACAGACAACTGCAGTTTTATTGGTCATTCCCAGGTACTCACATATTGCAACAGACAACTGCAGTTTTATTGGTCATTCCCAGGTACTCACATATTGCAACAGACAACTGCAGTTTTATTGGTCATTCCCAGGTACTCACATATTGCAACAGACAACTGCAGTTTTATTGGTCATTCCCAGGTACTCACATATTGCAACAGACAACTGCAGTTTTATTGGTCATTCCCAGGTACTCACATATTGCAACAGACAACTGCAGTTTTATTGGTCATTCCCAGATTCTCA